GAGAGAGAGAGAGAGAGAGACTGAAGCGCAAGAGGAGAGCGTGGGCGTGGCTAAGCCGAGGCAGTCGCTCGGCCTCCTGGGCCTGGGCTTCCAGCTGACCGTTCCTCGGCTCTTTTCTTTGACGGCGCAACGCGAAGGGAAAGGGAACTGAAGGGAACTGCGCGAGCGGTGACCGCGCAGTTCCGCCGCGTGCATCCGCGCTGCCACTCCTCCACCTCTCTCTGCCGCTGCTCCTCCTTTTGCATCATGTCTAAGAACATCGCCTGAACGACTGCCACATGCACACGAATTCCTCGCACAAAAGCAGGCGATCTTCAAAGTCCGCACAGTAAGGGCTACAGTGGCTACAGCCGTCCGGGCCTCAAGGCGTGCATTCGTCTCCTCCACCTCGCGCTGTCGGAACCTTGAGTTCAACTCTGCCGAACTCTGACGCGAGAAGCGTGCGACAGCCTACGACAGCTCAGCAAGGCACTCCAACTTGGCCATCTCCCGCAGCTCGCGGGCCCGCAGCTCCGGCTCCTCCAGAAGAAGCTCAAGGTGGGTATGTTGCTGCCGCCGGCATGGAAATGTCCTGCGCATGGAGAGACTCCCAGAATCTCACCTCGAAAGACCTGAGGCACTTTGGGATGCTGATTGCCACTCCTCCGACCTCAAGCAGAGGAAGGCTGAGATCTGCACAGCAGATCCTCCTCTGCCATGGCCACCCGCTCGGCAGCTTCCAGGTTGGCGTTCCACTCCTCCACCTCCCGTGCCCTCCCCATCTCTGGCAGATCCAAGCCCAAGCCTGGGCCTGCCTCCCGCCTCCCGCAACCTTCGAATGCTGAACCGTCTCCGGTCAACGGGAGACTAGTCTATCAGTGTCTTAGGAGATCCGGACAATGCAGGCAACCAAAACTTGTTCAGTGTGGTCAGTGCAGGATTGACGCCGGCCTCGCGCTGTTCTCGTTCTACTCGTTCCATGCAGTCACGCTCGTGCTGCTCTGCCAGCTGCAATGCCTCTTGCATGAAAGCCTGCGAAGCATGTCCAACAGAGTCTAGCCATCGGGAACAGTACAAGTACCACTTTGACAGCGTTCGGATGTCCGCCTCGTGCAGACGCTGCGGATCTTCATGAAACATAGCGTTGCGCTCTTTAGCCTCTTGAGCCGTCCAGAAGATATCAGCCTTCTTCTGTCGGAACTCTTCCCATCGCATCCTCGACACGAGCTTTCATTCAACATTGCACCCACTCCACCCTCGTGTAGGATGCGCTGCTTCTGTATCGTTGATTTTGGGAGACTCGGAACCCAAACAGGTGGAATCTCTTTCGTCGCACGCGACACGAGCCTATCACTCGAGGATACTCGCAGCCGCTGCACCCATCATATCGCATGCTCGTGTGACTCGTATGCAACATCTTACAACTTGATCATGTTGATACTTTGCCACTTGGGCGCTGTCTCAGTTCTTCAGCTTCCATCTGCTCCCTTGTCTTGAGAGCCTCCTTCTTCTGCTGGATGGTACCTCAAGTCGCGTAATCACAAGCTTCATGCTGCTCATGCCCTCCGGGGCACTTTCGAAGGCATCGCGCTTCTCCCGCAACTCTTCCACAAATGGGCTGGTAATCGAGCCTGAAGCCCGGGCAGCTGAGCAAGCGGAGGCAGAGTGGAAAGAGGCCACGATCGAGATTCTCACAACACGTCACATGAGACGGGGTACTGATGCACTTGTCCAGTTCCGTCGCTTCGGAATCTGGCAACGGTATCCTGAGGTAACAAGGCACGCTATGAAAGAAGCACTGAAGCTAGGACATCTTTGAACCAATGCTCTTCCAGCTCTACCGCTGGCCTGGCAATCGCACACGACAAAAACAACGCAAGAACCGCTGCCAGGACGCAACTTCAGTCCAATGCATTCCTTCTCGACTGCCTTCACAGGCAAGTACTCCACTTTGTGGTGATGTGAGCGGCCGGTGGAGACAAACTATTGACGGAATTCTGGAACAGATTTCCTAAGGACCACCCCTGCGGGCGACACACAACTCCGAGAGAAGGTTGTTCAGATTGCAGCCTGCAAGGGGTCGTTCCAGAAGGCAGCCTCATGTGCATCCTCCTCGTCCCTGGCTTCTTCCTGCATGCCGAAATTGTGGCAGGAAGCCTCTTCGAGTGAAGCTCCGCACCACGTCACACCCAAAGAATCCCAACACGGCCCAGGTCCGTCCTCCATCTGGCGATGGAAGCGGCCGCGTTCCTCCTCCTCGCGCAGCCGCTCTTGCCTCGAGATTCGGCTTAGCAAGACAGCATAACGCAGCACAGCATCGCGGCAGAGCACCCCAAAGGGTGCCAATGCTGGCCGGGTGCTGCATGGCAGTCTCAAAATAAGCCTTGTTCAAGATTTGGTCGTCCGACTCCGTCGTGACAGCCCCACCTTGATTGCAACTTCCTGGACCGGCTCCTCAAGCTGCACAGGTAAGGCAAGGGCCAATGATGATGTAGGCGTTAAAGACCATGGTGCCACTGATGATCGTCACGATGATAAGAACCAGCACGTCAATCAGCGTGCCTGAATCACGGATTTGTCTGACAATTGCTTTCCTGCAAATGTTTGCCACGGCTAATTTCGTCAGGAGGCTTGTGGCATCGATGGTGGACTGGTATTGCGAGGCTTTGTTGTGCTTGGAAACCATCTCCTGCGTAAATCAAGACAGCCGTGCCAGCATCACAGCTCGGCTAACTGCTTGAGCAGATCCTTGAAAGCGGCCATGAAAGTTAGGAATGCCATGCAGCCTGTGAGGACCGACTCCTGGCCGCAAGGGACACATCCAAGAGAAGCTGTTGGCACCACAGAACACACTCGTGCCTCGATATTCAGCAGTCTGGCCGTGTACGGGAACAAGAGGATCAAAGCCTCGCATGGAAAGTCTCAGCTAGTGCACGGCGTCCATGCCCCGGGGCTGCTATCCGAGGAGCCGCGAAGTTGATCATGAAAACCAGGGACTGCGCAGCAGCCCCGAAGGGTGGGAACTCCACGGCCATCAGCGCAGACAGCATCAAGGCAAACTGGCGAAAGAAGCTGCCTGGAGCTCTCGCTTCGCTTGAAACTCATGCGACGGATTCTCTTTCCGCAGCAGCTAGTGCCACAAGAAGGATGACGAAAAAAAAGGCTCACCTGGTTGCGTGCTGCGGCCCAAAGCACTGAAGATGAGCACCCAACCATAGGTCAGATAGCTGCCATCCAATTGGTCTGGCCACGACCCCTTCTCTGTGAAGCGTTCCTTGTTCTTCCACTTCAGCTTGATCTCCTTGAGGTTCACCTCGTCCTCAAATGCACTCAAAGCACCGCAGGATGTCCACGACTGCTGAGCCCCACGATCCCGGAGTGTCCTCCAGGGTTGCCTTGCGCCTCCGCATGTCGGCCAATTCCTTGTTCAAGTCTTTTCCCGGCTTATCAGGCACCACGGCAGCACCTCGTTGCTTCATCTTCGCCTCCAGCCACGAAGCTTTGCCAGTAAGTCTGAAGTCGACATTCCCAGAACCAGCCTCCATCAACTGGCGCTTCTCTGCTGCCTCGGCATCCTTGCCAGTTGGGTAAGTGCGGACCGCCACAATGTTGCCTTGCAGACTTGTCCGGGATGCAGCAAAACTTACTTGCCTGGTATGATCTATGTGTGCACAGTTCTATAAGTTCTATACCTCAATCCAACTAGACTTCTAGACAACTGCTGCACCCATGGCATGCCAAGGCGAACTCGTTTGTGCAAAGCTGCTGAAAACCCGCAGGCGCACGGCTTCCACCCAGCCCCTTGCAGCTCAAAAGGTAGACATGGTGCCGGTCAAGCATTCAAAAGAGAACCTGCCTCATGTTCTCCACGCTCATCTCGACAGCCGCGACGTAGATTGGGATGCGGTCGCCTGTCGCCACTCACAGAATCGGAATTGGGGTTGCCAGGCAAACACCCCAGAGCGTGCGGCCAAGTTTCGCGTCTTCGTCCCTGCTTGCCAGTGGTAGCTCCAATACAGGCATACGTTCAGAACGGCGAAACCGGAGCCAAAGACAAACCATCCCAGTGATGCCATTCCAAAAAGCAGCTGATAGTTGGTGTCAGCCAGATCGCCTGTCGCCGGTGTCTGCAAACATGCGGGTGGGGTGAACTGCACTTGTGCAGAGAAACGGCAAAGGGCTTGTTTGGAAGCTCGTCCCTTGTAAGTCGAGCCAGGGTACAAACAATATCTTGCGAAGCCACGAGCACTTGAGAGCCATCCGCCATGGACTTGCACTGGAATGGAATGCTCAACTGCGTCATGTGCTGCTGGATGAAAAGCAAGAGGATGGTCAGCATCGCCCTACCCCAGGCATTGAGGAGCAGCCACCCCTGCACCTCCTCAGAGACACAGGAACCTACGAAGTGTGAAGAGTTTCTGCTAACAGAGGTGTCCGCGTCTTGATTCTCCGTCCAAGCTGCTCGGTACTGCGGGTCACCACGGCTTTCGCGGAATGAGAGGTACTTCACGACAAGGTATGAACACGTGATGGGAAACATCAAGGCATAAGGCATTATGGTAAACCTCATGACCAGGTGATGTTGAAAGTCGTTCCGAAACAGGCTGCTTGCAACCAAGACGGAAAGTCTGCGCAATCACTGGATCCGGAAGTAGTTGCAGCCGCGTGGCATGACCCAGTTCTGCCAGTAAGGACTCTCTACACTGCAGTCCGGCTGAAAGAAGTTGAAGTTGAAGGACAGGTTGGCTATCACCGCCATGATCCTCGTGAATAGTTCCTGCGCTGTACGCTCTTCCTCTTCTTCCGGGCGTAGGACAATGCGCACATGCAAGGCGGTCCCTAGTGATGTTAGCTCAACGCACTCCAAGCACCCCTCCTCTGGCAGAGAAAGAGTAGCATGCAGCCATTGGCCCATTAGCACCACTATTTAACTCCACCTTCTGAGTGCGCATCAACCCTGAATATCGACGTTCAACCGCACAAACCTCACTAACCTGCTCAGTACGTGTCTGAAGAAACAAGCCACAAGATGCTCCAAAAAGGTAGCCGCGAAAGCTTGCACAGGAAAGAGGTGGCAGCGCAGACAAGGCGCCGGCCATTCCAGATCTATCCGACCAATTCCATTGAAGGATTGCATGATCGACAGGGACATGGTGATGAGCCGCACCCCCGAGGCACTCAGTTCCTGAACGGCAGGAACCGAACGGCAATCTTCCAGACCCAATCCATTTTGCCGAGCAACTTTCGCATCTGACGTGTCGAGCTCGGCTTCATCATCGCTCTTTTCTGCGCGAGGAGCGCGGAAGAGGCAGTAGATCCTTGATCCGCTGAGGCACAGCGAACCCTTAGACAGCGTCACATGCTGCGGCCAAGGCACGGCAGCTTGCAACTGGACAGCGCATCCTGCACGTCCTCAGGCATGACTTAGTCCGGCGCTGCAAGGCATGCACTTCCAGATTCATCTCATGCAACGCCAAGCCACCTGCTCCTCAGTGCAGCAAAGTTGGCAAGGAGATGATCTGCATGGGGAGCACAAGGTCATGAGGGCAGGCAAGGCACAGTGTCAGCCCGGAGGTGCTTGCCATTGAGGACGAGGAGCCGCCAGGAGTGGGAGATGCCAAGGTGAGATGCGGGCGACCCGGGTCGTACACCGGCCACGTGGATGGTGCGATCCTTGTCCACACGGAAAACGAAGCCTAAGTCCTTGTTCTGGAAATACGGCCAGTATCCTGGAAACACCGCAAACAACAGCTCTAACGCGATTCTCTCTGACAGGCAATGTGCACTTGGGGCATGGGCCTGCGATATCTTGCTTGCGGATGATCAGGGTCACGCGCTTAAAGCGAAACTTGTCGATCATTTTCATCAAAGGATTGCCACCACCTAAGAGACGGTGTCATGTCTGTCGAACTTCTCTCAAGACTGGCCTCTGATACAACAGGGATTCCCGCACCATTGAGCAAGGATAGCACAGTGTAGGAAAAACATCGCCTCCTCCACCACCTCCTAGAGCTGCTTTCATGCGATCCACGATTTTGCCTGAGCATCTCTGCAGCAACTCCCTTGCAGGCCTGCAAGCACCTGCAAACCAGCGGCGTGCGATGTAAAGCTTGATCTGTCCCTTAAAGATAGGATCGGAAAGCATTTTCCTGAGATTTGCAAACAGTGACCGGCAGCTTTGGAAACCTTCGATGCCTTGCTCCCTGCACTGCTCTCCCCGCCCATGCATTCCTTGCTCAAACAAGGCTCAGGTAAAGGAGCGATAGGAAGAAGGCTCCAAAGGTTCCAATCATACCGAGAGCACTGAAGATCAGAGTGCCGAGGACCTGATCCTCGCCGCATCGAGTGCACACGTTTGACTCCGGATCCTGCAGTGCAGGAACAGCAGAAACATGGGCAGAGAACTCAGAACACTGCGGTCCATGTCCTGGAAGTATCCGAACACGCAGGCACCACAGTTTGGACCCTCATAACCAGTGTTGCACTGGTTTCCCTCGGATGATGCCAAAATTGCGAACCGGCAGAAGTCACCGTGTGCATACTTCTCCAGGGCCACACTGCAGAGAAGCTACATTCAAGCATGCTGTCGAGGGTAGACAGCTTTCGATGACAGGCTTGTACTCGTCGAAGCCAGGATTTTGAGTGTTGGTAGCCGCTTGAGCTTTGGAGATATAGAAGTACGGCTTCGCGAGCGGCAACATGGTCCCACCAGCGCAGTAGATCATGCAAAGCCGGTAGTCGAAGGAGCCAGTCACCCTCGGCACGCAAACCTGCGACACGGGCTCGTCGCAAAGCGTTCCCTGAACATCGACGGAGCAGGGCTCGTCGTCCATGGCTTGCGTCCTTAGTGATTTAACAGCTGGCGCAAGCCCATAAGTCGGAATCTCTCAGTCTCTCGAACTTTCAAGCTTCAGCAAAGCTTCGTGAAGTCTTCGGTGTGGCACGCCACGCAAGCATAACCCGGCTTGCCATACGTTTGGCTCGCATCATAAACCGGTGAGAAGTAACCCTTCTTGCAGCGGCAGTCTTCCAAGGAAACGGCCGGCGGAACCGAGAAGGTGTTTGCTGGACATGGCAAGCAGGCCGTCTGCCCCACCTGAAAGGAAGCTGGAGCTTGTACAAATCTACTGGACGAATGCCCCGGCCTGATCTTGATATGACGTAGACGGGCAGAAGGTGCACCCCAGCGGCCATTGATCGGAGAACCGGTTGGAATACGTGCCCTTCGGACAAGGCTCGCAGGCATCACTGTCCTCACAGGGGTGGGGCGGCAACAGCTGATGCAGCCACACTCTTGCATCCACGAATCAGCAGATACGGGCATTGAGTAGGTTTTGCGTCGCTGGCAGATTGGTGACACTGAAGGCACAGACAAATGAAACCAAAAAGCAAAACTCAACGCAAGCCCATCAACCACCATGCTTTGGGACATGCACCGCTCGGACGGCTTCGTGCAATTCTACGCGTGCTGTCACGAGGCAAGAAGTGTCTTCTAAACACACGAGGACGACATGTGCAAAGGTAGATAGAAGACCATGCAAGATGACCACGTGCGGAAGAAGTTTGCTTCCACACTCAATGCAAACTGAGATGGGCAATACTTACACCTAGTCAACTGGAGCCCGGCAGTCGTCACCTCCTGAAACAACAGCCGCTCAAGCTACAATGCATAGACACTTCGCTTGCCCGGTCTCCTCGCTTGGTCGAAAGTACCCCTCCTCACCAAGGCGAGAAGCGTTCAGAACACCCCGAGGCGGCTGGACGATGGCTGCGACCATGCCCCCCGGCAATCTCTCTCTCTCTCTCTCCGTACTGGCTACCTCTGATTCCCAGAGTCCTGCTCACACTGGGAAATCTGTGTTGGTAACACCGGCTTGTTCATCTCTTCGAGCGACCCCACTTTCAGTATCACGTTTACCTGGGCCAGTCCATGGGCACGTCTACGGCCATGAGCGGAGCTTGAATGCGACCCAGGGGGCATCCACATTCCTCAGCTGCACTGCTTTAGGAGCTGTCTCGAAAAAACAAGCAGATCATCCTGCTTCTCGCGCTCCGCATCTTCGGAAGCTTAGGGGCTCGGAGATGATCCTGCCCAAGAGTTCGCCGGCTGCCGGCGCTTCCCGAGATGCACGACGAGGGCTTGTCATCGAACACTTCACGTAGCTGTTGTTTTGAACCTTGCAGATGCAAAATTGCAAAGAAACTCCGAGCACCGTGCGGCTGGGCCCAGGGCCCGGCCTGAACCGTGCAGGTTGCCAAACCGACAGTTACGCTCGCCGTTCCCAGCATCTGCAGAGCTGGAATCTGGTCCGCCAAGCTCAGCCTCCTGTGTCTTCAAAGGCTCAAACAAGACATGCGCCGCAAAACCTGCAACTTGTCTTGCAGGCCTCGATGAGTCTGCCGCCAGCAAGCCGCTCAGCTTCGTCTGCCACGAGAGGCAGGCCGCCTGGGCCGCGCAGAATATCACAACTTAACTTCGCTTCGCCGGCCCCGGCAAGGTCCGCTCTACGCAGGCTCTCCTGGAAGTCGCCATCTGCAGCCAGGAATTCGCCGAAGGAGACGCCCTCGATCTCAATCTCCGAGTAGCCTGACGACAAACGGATGATCATGGAGCTCTTTGGGGCATTGCACGCGGAGCCCCGAGCCAGCATCGAAGATAGTGGCCGGCGTGATGAGCGAGATCTGGGGCTGTGGAAGCGTCAGCTGTCCTGCTTCCAAAAGGCTGAGTGCAACTCGCAGCTCCCAAGATCATCCAAGCTTTCCGAGGCCGCCACCAATCACGGAAGTGGACTCGAGATCACCAATTTGAAGGACAACTTCTGGAGCCGCCGGGACATTCCGTGCATCCAAGCACGATGTAATGAAACACTTCCTGAGATGGAAAAGTCCAGATTTCAGAAACATGCGTGTGATGCAGAAAAGGCAGAACCCACGAGACATCCTATGCTTCCTATCATACCACAACCCCGGCGAGAGCGCCTTTTTGACAAGCCGCTGGTAAAACGTTGTGAGGCTGTGGACTTGTTGCACAGGCCGTTCTGCAGCTTCTGGGTTATAGTGCCAAGCGGCTCAAGTCTAGACTCTAAACCCAAAAACACAAGCATGCCGTACATGTCAGCCTTTTTGCATGTTTACACCCGCGACATGGGCCGGTAGAGATGTCGCTAGAGTCGTTTGCACATTGTCTCACCCGATGGCAGATGAGCAAAGTTGCATGGTTGCACACCATGCTTCTTGTCGGGGTGTCTTGCATGCTACAGTGCTTCCAACACTCACTCATATAGAACATGGCTGGGATGCACACTCAAGTAACCCACAGAAACTCCGAAAGCAGCCCAGCGGCAGCTCCGTGTCCGACACGTACTCGACGGAGGAGCCTCGGATCGGCAGCTGCCGCAAACTTTACAGAGACACGCGAAGACCCAATTAGGAAATGTGTAGCAAATCTCTGGACTCTCAGGCATGGTCCACCCCGGTGAGCCGAGGTGCAGAACAAGAGCCTTGAATTTGAAGCCCAATCTAGCACCAACCACAGCTGATAAATCTTCGAGTCCACATAGGTCAGCGAAAGGTCCATGAGACTGTTCAGGGTGGTCAACACTCTTTTTGGAACTGTGAAGACGGCCTCGGGGGCCTTGCAAAGTTTTGGCCCTGGAGGTAGAAGACAGGATCCGATGTCATGACCTTTGCTGCAGGCTCTTGAACTGCCCAGCTCCCCTACTGTGCTTTTGGTGTGTTTCCAAGACATACAGGGACCTGCTCCACGACGACGCCGTTCGACTGCGCCCCACTCGCATCTCTCGTGAACAAACCGGTCACTGTTGGTGCCTTGGTCCAAGCCCCGGCACGGCACGAAACTGCGGAACTGTGGCACCACCGCGTGGCTTCACCGCATTGAGCCAAGGCGCTTGGAAGTCAACCTGCCCGGTCATAGAAAAGTCGCCTGCAAGTTGCCAGAGTGTCGAAGTGAAGTTCTTCACCTGGATTTCCTGGGTCCACGAAGGAAGCTTTGAAGGACCTGCACACTTTGGCCTCACGTGTGTCACCAGGCCAGCAGTCGCCAAGGTTCCAGCACCAGGCTCTCTTTCTTCAGAGGGGTCAGCGTGACGACGCAATCAAGCTTCGTCCAACCTTCGTCGAAGATCTGCCTCATCGCCACCAGGCGAAGCTCTCCGACGGAATCTGCTGAAACCAGCTACTTGCCACAGCTTTCCAGGTCCAAGTTGCTGTTCGCAAAATCCTGGAGGTTCCTGGGTCTCCTCGCCGACCTTCCGGAGGCTGAGCCGAATGAAGTCCGCTGGGTCACTGACCTGCAGAGGCAGGGGTTTCCCTCTGGTGGCAGCGGCTGGCACAGCTATTTCGCTGTCTTCGGTCTTTCTTCGGTAGAGGTGGTTTCAGTTTCGATCTTCGTTTGGTTTTCACAACAAGCTCCTGCAATAAATGGCCCCTTCACCTACCGACTAGCTTCAGGGTTTCCCCTGGCATTCCCACCTGTGCTATGACAGACGCTGTCGTCGGCACGTTGCCCAGAACCTCAGTTTAGAGGAGTCACATGCAGCCCGCCAAACCACGCAGACTCCTGGCTAAGTTCTACCAGATTCTACAAGATATATGCGCGAACCTAACACGCAGCTGCTGCCAGGGCTCAGTCATGAGATTCCGGCTCTGCCCCGAGGCTGTCAACGTTGGTGTCAAGACTTGCGGGGTCACGGTGGGAGTCTGGAAGGTGATCTTGTACTCCTGGCTGTCGCAGGGAAGGCTTTTGCAAGAACTGCCTGTTCTCCAAAATCACTGCTATTTCCAACGCAAGGAGACAAGGAGCCATGTCGAAATCCACCCCACCTCAGACAGAATCATATGGAAACAGAAGCGCTTTCAGGCATGCTGTGCAGTCGAGCCACTCATTTTCATCTTGACCTTGGTCGTTGTCCAGTTTACAGACTCGGGTTAGCACAGGGATCGAATCAACTCATGCAGGCAGTTTTGTTTGTCCCTCGCCGTCCAAAGATCTTGGTGCAGGCTCGTAGCTGGCAGAGACAGTCCCTGCCCCTCGATGTTTGTCATCATAACGAACCTTAGCTCTCATGGCCAATGCCCACGCAAACATCTCGGGAACGGAGGATGCGGATGCACACCCATCTGAATGAGTCTGGAAGCTCACTGGGCACCGAGGTCACTTGTGGAAAAAAGGTAGAGCCGCCCAAAGAAACATTGATGTCAGTCAACTGCGTGACAGGATCCTTCTCCATATCAAACTTAACTTCGTCACCTCAGCTCGTTGCCATGAGCAGGGGACAAGACAAGCTCGGCACAGGCTTTTCACAAAGACTCAGAAGTTTCTCGAACTTCTGGCTCAGTGACCGTTTTGAGCTATTATCTCCGAGCCGGCTCCCTCAACGGAGTAAGACGCTCCACTGGCTGGAGTGACCGTTATCTTCAAGATGGCCAGCTTTGTATCGGTGAAGGACACGTTGAAAGCCTTAGCCACCGCAACGCCCCTTAAGCACGTCTCCAGCCTGGGCCTCGCTTGGCCCGCATAAGGCACCCACATAATTCGTGCAGGGATAAGTCGTGGCATCAACGGTGGAATGGGCGTGAGAGCAGACCGTGACATCCAGAGAGGAAGTCAGCATCAGTAGTCTGGCGCCATCAGCTTGCTTCTCATAGGAGAAGTTGTGGAACTCGTACTCTGGATTGTTGTACGTCCTCGAACACAGAAACATGGGCAACTCCAGGGTCTCGTGCCGTCTCTGAAACAAGGCGCATGGTAGCGAAGTCTGATACTGGAGCAACCTGGGCAGTTGAGCCATACCACACACAGTCCCACACCTCTCGAACTGTTGCTCTCCTGAGTCATCAGCCGTAAAGTTCACTTCGGTGTCGGCAACCTCGCCCACTGCTTTCTCAACACCGCCTCGGAGCCAAGCCGCTCCCAGTTCTGCAAATGCATGGAAAACCACACTGAAAGTGCGTCGGGCTAAGCACGGAATGTACGCAGCACGACAAGACTGCTTCCGAATCCTCGTCTGCTTTGCGGTTCCAGGCGCATGCACGCTCGTGCTGCGAAAGCAGCATAACTATCCCAGTTGCCACTTGCTCGAACGTCTGAATCTCCCTCAGACAGGGAGCGAGGAGCAGTACGGCTGCAAACCAGGGACGCAAGCGAACCCAGACATTGCGTCCAAACCACGATGACATCGTGACCTTCATGTGGGAAGATTTCGTGAGTGTGCAATGCATGAAAGGGCAAATGCAGCCATTGCTAATGGCCACACCCATCTCGCCTGCGTGCCACTGGAACACAATGCCACCTTCAGAATGCCAATAGACTGCAGATCTGCACCTTTGCAGGCCAAACCATCAGATGAGCAAGAGAGAAGCAACCCATGACTTGAGACTTGCCACGGGTGTCAGCCAGCGTGGTGAAGCCTCGAAAGTTCAGCGCATGTAAGAATGAAAGATCAAAGTTCAGGCAGGAAGATTGCACGATGAAAGAGCGCCAAGAGGCTAATATCCGGACACGCCTCCGGAAAGTTCGAGCATACCACGGGAACCCAGGGCTTCGAGCGCTTCCATCCGTCACAGTTGATGGTGTACCTCGCGCAGCAGAAATGTCTGCCGTCTGCCAACCACCTTCCTCTCAAGGGGCACTGCTTGCTTGGCACCAGAGCCGGAACGCTGAAACTGAAAGCCGTGTCATCGAAGACCGTGTATTCACCAGCTGTCCTATGCCAGCACTCAAGTTCCATCTGCTTGCATGTTGACATTGAAAATGGCTTCTGTGCGCATCCTGTTGATGTCGCTGCTATAAATCGGCTGCCGCAAGGCTCCCGTGGCGACCCGGCCAGTCACCCGCAACGGCGCTGCATCCGGCTGCACTGCTGCAACGGTGCCTACAAGGAAAGTGTTTCTTGAAATTTGCCATCGGCCTAGCTAGTCGCCAGACGAATGCATGACAAGATGTCACGCGTGTCGGAACAGCTTGCATGCCGTATTGGGTCGGGCAGCAGTTGATTTCTGATGCCAGGTCATATTGAACCTTGCACGTCAGCTCTGGGCAGACATGTTGCAGAAATTGTCTGACGTGGTGGGTTACGACCTCCAGCCCTACATCAATCCAGGTACAGATTCACAAGGGCCCATGCCGTTCCCAGCATTACCTAGCACCTCTGCGTCTGAGCAGCAAGGAAGGTCACTTCTATGCCGTCATCCTTTACTTCCTTCTATAAGCTGCAATCGCAGCAGAGGGCATGTCATGTGATTGCACTGAGCTGGCACACACAAGATGCGAGCCCACGTGGTCCTGTGAACTTACCTGAAGTACTTTTCGCACTGGAGACGGATCAATGTAGCTGAAGTTCCACCTCAGTCGTTGCAAAGCCTGCTGGCATTGATGATTGCGGCAGTCCAACCTGCACTTGAGCATTTCAGACAAGCATCCGAAATTCAGGATTGACCTTTGACGGCGTGTCCTCCGTAACGAACAAACCTGCAGCGCTTGCCATGGCAGGATGGAGGCTTGCGCGATGGAACCCTCCATGCTACCGGCAAGAGTCAACCAAGAGCCGTGCCTTCTTCGAAAGCGATATCATAGAAGCATCCTGGTCACCATCCGGACGTGCAGTCGCTCCACCACTGACACAGTGCCAAAGAAGGGGCTGTTCCTGTTCTACTGAGTCTACTGTGGAACTGTCAGATGCAAGCCAAGTTTCCAGGCTTGATGAAGTCGTCCGCGGGGAAGTTTGCGATAAGAATCCGCTCCTGAACCACAGAACGCAGAAGGTCGACATGGAGTAGACACATTGCATAAGTAAGGGTAAGAAAAGGACCCGGAAAGGCCAGACGCAGATTTAACCCCCCTCCTCCCCTGCACTACGACTTCCTGCGGTGTTCATGTACCCAGACAAAACCCAAATTCACGGCTGCCTACTGGAATTTCAGCAACCCAGGCGTACACTCAGAGCGGTATTGCAGTAGATCCTTTACAACAAAGCAGTTATGGCATTTTGATTCTGCTTCACTCAACGGTTCCTGTCAATGACAAACTCTGAAGTCGGGCTCCAAGTACGCCAAATCAGGCAACCCTCACGACGGCGAATTTGCCCACCGTAAACAGAACCACCCTCCGCCCGCTCGTATCTAATTAAGAGCAAGCGCAAGAATCTTCGTGAAAGGAAGCGAGACTACAGGTCATGGAAGACAATGAAGTTTTGCGGCTTGGAATGCAGAGGCACCAGCAAAAAATGCCCTTCAGCTTCAACTCACATCGCAAATTACTCTGAGTAGACAACAACGAGATCCCACTGAGTGCTCCTGAATAAGGCCGACAGTGGAAGCTCCAGATGGACTGCCATCGATGATCCTGGGCAGTGCATAGCGGTGCCAAAAGCCTGTCGGACTCAATTGGCCAAACGCCAGGTAGCGAATTCGCAGGCACGCGCCATTGGATGGTCGGACACCACTCCTCAGCTGATGGCTCCGCACACTATAATAAACTCAGCTAGTTCAGTCTGGATCGTGCACCTACAGTCTGTGGATGTCCGAGACATTCTGAGACTGCCTGTTGCCATGTTGCATAGTTGTACTGGTACTATAGAGATGGGGCGATTCCGGTGAACCCCGCAGCAAAAAATCGCAAATACAGCCAGGACTCTTCACCTCCCTCTCGGATGTTCTTGCGATCGATGACGAAAGCTTTGCTCGTGTCGGAAGTCACGTACACGTCCACCTCTCCGCACTGCAGCTCCAACATGCTTCATCGATCAGAATCGCAGAAACACAAATACAAACAGCCAGACGCAGCACGGGCAGGCAGGCAAGCAGGCAGCAGGCAAGCAGCAGACAGCAATCATCCGTAAAGAACATGACAAAGACGAAGGCACATGCACACACACACACACACAGACAAACACACAAACACACACACACACACACTCTACACACAAACACTTCTGAGAACTGCCACTCCTCCTCCTCCTCCTCTTCCTCCTCCTACTCCTACTCCTACTCCTACTCCTGCTCCTACTCCTACTCCTGCTCCTACTCCTACTCCTATTGCTCCTACTACTACTACTACTACTACTACTACTACTACTACTCCTACTGCTGCTACTGCAACTGCCACTGCCACTGCGACTGCGACTGCAACTGACTGAGACTGCCATTGCAAATGCGACTGCGACTGCGACCACGTACCGCTTTCGACTTTCGACGTACGACTTACGACTTACGTCTTGTACTTACACTTACACTTACACGTACAGTTACACTTACAGCATCTGCTACTACTGCTACTACTACCACCACCACCACGACCACGACTTCTGCTACTACTGCTACTACGACTGCTACGACGACGACGACGACGACGGCGACGACGACTACTACTACTACCACCACCACCACGACCACGACTTCTACTACTACTGCTACCACGACTGCTAGTAGTACTAGTAGTAGTAATAGCTGCTGCCACCATCATCTTCTTCCCACGCGGCAGAGAGAGAACTCCTGTCCAGCGTCGCCACTACAGCTCCAGTTTCGGAGTCGGCCACTCAAGGCGGCAGGCACGTATGCCTCGTACGGGCATCAGTGATCGTCCTAACTAGAAAAGACAAAACGTCGCACTTCAGGTGCCGTTTAAACTATTTGTTGATGCTTCGCATCAAATCAGCAGCAGGAGGACTCTGTAGTGTCAGTCATCCATGCTGTCCCACTGAATCACATCTAGGGGCGACTGGCGGCACTTGTTGTGGGACTCACGGTCCCGTCGCGCTTTTGCTTCGAAGCGTATCTCCAAGAGGCGGATCTGCCGCTGCATCTGGCTCTGAGTCCCTTGCATAGTCTCGATACGCTCGGCGAGGTTGGCCATCTGCATCCGGATCTGAAACAGCTGACTGGTGATCCAAGCCAAGTCCTTCTCGTCGAGGAGTCGTGGCTGAGTCGAGGGAGTGGTGGAGGCCATGATCGGAGCCACGAGCAGTACACGTAGGGGGGTTCGATGCAGGTACCGAGGAGGCTGAAAAGGCTTCGGTCTCCTGGACTAACAGCATGAGATATGCGTTTGCACTGAGGTGATCGACTTGCTGATTCGTCATGAGCACAGGCGTTTTTTCATCATCAAGCAGCCAGTGTTGCTGATGTGCATCAGCGGCAGCTACAGTATAGTGGCCAGAGGTCGGGGTGGGTCCATGATGCTGGATGTACGCTATAACCCTATAGGGAACCCAACTAGTCACAAGGGCATCTTGCTGTGTAAAGTGTGGCAGCTTTAGTCGTTGCGGCAACAGGTACGCTTGAGATTGTTTCACTGGCCAGCCCGGCGCATGATAGCAAAACCTGGGAAGCTGAAGAAAACACCAAGGCGGTGGCTCTCGGAACGCATGCAATTCACGCTGAGCATGCCACTGATGTATCAGCTCCTGCACCTCGGGGGTAGAGCGTTCCGGGTCTTGGGCGAGGATGATGCACTTTAAGGCTGACACAGGCGGGGTGGTGTGCAGCAGCTGTCCCTCTGCGGCAGAACTGCGTGTCTCCCAGCATCCTGATGGCGGTGGCTGCACTAAGCGAGGTTGCAGAAAATCTACTAGCTCCGCTGCGTCGTGTTGTTGTTGAGGTTGAGACCAGCCCAGAAGGCGAAGCCCCATCAGACGCGTCGCGATGTGCGGTTGCTCTGATTGTTCCCAGAAAACCTTGGGCAGTCGATGATGCTGTTTGGAATGGTGAGCACCAAGCCAGAGGCAGTACAAAAAGGAGTTGAGGTAGCAGCTGTTGCGGCCACCCTGTAAACGCAAGCTGGGCAAGACTGGGGCGGTGGCTGATGCATCCGTGCGCGCATCAGCTGACAGCAGACCTGGAGGCGGGGGGAAGGGTGCGGAGAGGGATGAAGGGGCGGCTGTGGTAGCGGAGCGCGCCGAGGCCGGTGCTACCTCTGATAGAAGAGGTCGGCCAGGTTTCTCGCTTGGCCATCTGGGCTCCCTGCTGTTCCAGCTTGGGCAGGCGAACTGTCGAGGCGAAGCGCTGGATGGCTTCCCCCGTGAGGTTCTCCAGCAGGTAGTTCAGGATCCGGACGATTTCCGTATGCTGGAGGGGTGCCTTCGTGCTGTCCACAACGAGGCGCTTCTCGGTCGGGTTCCAGGCTCGATAGTGCCATTCGGTGGATGGGCTCAGCCATTCTGCTTTGACCATGCGGGCCTTGTTCTCCTCGGTAGCGACTGCCTGCTGGGCAAGGTTCAAGAGCTCCTTGATCATGCTCGAGAGAAGGACCGTCTTGAGGGGGGAGCGAAGGGTCTGATTCCCCTGGGTTTTCTTGGCGTTCCATTCGCGAGCTACCCGCACGAGTGCTCCCAGTGTGCCGTCCTCCCCCTGTCGCATGAAGAGAACGAAGCC